AATTTATTACCAAAAACTAATAACCCCAATAGGATGCATGGTGTTGTTAAATTACATAAGTCAGGATACCTTATTAGGCCTATAGTTGACTTTATAAATTCACCTACTTATGAATTATCGAAATATTTAGCCATGGTATTAAATCCCCTTAAAAACCACTCGAAATCTAGACTAACAAATTCTTATGAACTAAAACACAGATTAGATAATTTAAAAATAAGATATTGAAGAAAAAATGGTTAGTTGTGACATTGTCAGTTTATACACACGTATACCAATAAATATGGCTATGGAGGCAGTCAGAAACGAACTCATTTCTGACCAAGAACTCGAACTTAGGACGAAAGTGTCACTTGAAGACATAATACTGAGAATTCAGCTAGGCTTGACTTTCACAGTATTTAAATTCCAGGGGAAAATACACAAATAAACCGAAGGAGTTGCCATGGGATCACTAATATCCCCGGTTGCGGTTGATATATTCATGAATAGGTGGGAAAACATGATTATTGAAACGTTCAGCCCCACACAAAAGTATGGTGGAGGTATGTAGATGACACATTCACTGTACTTAGAACACAGGATATAGATAGGTTTTTTGAACACAATAACTCAAAGGTGGAGGCCATCTAATTCAATTATTAATTAGAAAGTAAGGAAGAAGAGCTTTCAGTGTTAGACTGTAGCGTAAAAAGAAAAGAAGATGGGAAGTTAAACACTAGTGTTTACAGGAAACCCACATATTCAGACAGATATTTGCACTTCCGATCATCCCATCCTATGTCAGTGAAAATGGGATTGGTGAAATGTTTAAGTGACAGAGCACAAAAACTAAGTAGTACCAAGGAAAATCTAAGACAGGAAGTGAGGCATATAAGAGAAGCTTTGAAACTTAATAATTACCCTGATAAGTTAGTCAGGAAATATGTAGGGAAATGTTAAAATAAAATAAATAATGATAGTAGTGATAATAATAATATTAATGACGACATTCATGTCAAACATGCGCAAGACAACACCAACAATAAGGAATCTAAATCATAAGTAGTAATTCCATATAATGAAGGAACCACGGAAACCTTACGCAGAACTCCTAAGAAGGCAGGAATAAAAGTGGCATTCAAACCCACAAACTCAATTAGAAACAAGCTTTTTCGGTTAAAGGATCCTGTGGAGCCTTTAAAACAAAACAATGACTGTCAGGTTAGATACATAGGTCAAAGTAATAGATTAGGTGCAGTCAGACTAGCCAAGCGTAAAAACCTAGGAAAATCTAGATTGGTTGACCCTAATAAGATAAGAAATCTAGAGAATAGTTCAGCTATACCACTCGCTACATGCAGTTACACACAACCATACAATAGGATAGATGGGATAGGATGACAGTTTTTAAATCTAATGCCACAGTGTGCAGGGAGAAATTTATAACAGAAGCTTTGTTTATCGAATCAACTGCAAATACATGTAATAGGAATGATTCAACACCTGACCATCCAGATATCTGGAAAATTGTACTACCATTAGGAATAATAGGAGAGGACAAAGAAAACTATAAAACTCAGGTTTCGAAGTCGTGTGATTATAATTGGTATAATTATGAACAATAAATTGTGTTCGAAACGTCACCCAGTAAATAATACTGTTTCACTGTGTGATATGTCTAATAAACAAACTAATATGGAATTACTTATTACCACAGTGCCCAAGTTTTGCACACATGTTAACCATATACCGGTTATTTTCAACTGAAAGTTACAGATGAATATAGAATGTGCCTGGATTTTGAAGTGGTTATTTACAACTAATTTTTTAAGGCATATTGGTCAACTAATGAAACATACAGAAAAATGAGTGGACTAGGATTTGGCCATATCTATTTCAGTGCATCTGACTATCGTAGTGTAGTGCCTTATAGCAGCGACCTTGTCTACACTTTAGTTAGTTTAAAATATTGACTTTTCAGTCATTAAATGAACGCAAACCTTTTGGTTACTATTACCTGACAAGAATGTCAGTGAATTCTGCAAACTGCTTACCACAGTAGAGGACTCGATATCGTGGTGCATTTTAAAGTAATGTTAGTTGTTTGGAGATAGTTGTCAGGAAGCCACCTCTAAGGTATATAGAAATTATCTGACGTCTTAGCAACCAGTCATTCGTGACGTCGAACAGATAAGTGGCATCGTCTGTAGTTGTAACATTGTATGAGGGAATGCAAATCTCCTGTAAAGGTACCGAATCAGTTCCCTTAAAGTTGCAGGTGATTATCAATAAGCACAAAATCTGAGTTCATAACTTCCTTCCGATTGCATTCAAACACCTAACATCAAACCTGATTGCATTTCGTGACTTTCTTGGGTAACATAAGTATATTTGATTGTTAATATTAATGCCATCAAGTTCTGACTGACGCTGAGATTAAATTAACCATCAGGTTTTCAGCACTGTGCTACGCTGACTGAACCGTAACATTTATCATTTTGAAAGCTGACATTTATTTTCATCGCCTAAAATTTTCGCTAAATTGTCATGTGAATAGATGATATGTAATAACTGTTCATCACCGTAGGAATTAGGCACTTTGGTGGATTACTTTGAAAGATTAATGTCAGCTCACAAAAGGTTATCTAAGCTATTTGTAATTACAGTTAGTCATGTGCTTTTCTCCAGACAGTCATTCACATAATCCTTGGGAGAACATTTAATGTGTCAAGCTAGGCTTAAAGCCGTATAAAATATAAAGTGTTTTTTGTTCCAAATTAGAAATGCAAGTTAACCGTGTTTTGCTAAGTTATTAGGATGACATCGGATAATGAGTGAACTAGCAGAGCGGCTTTATTGTATATCTCCGCTAATTGTGGCGTCGTAATCCGTTGATATGGTGTTTTAATGACAGGTTATATTTTTTGTATGCTTTTTAAATGAAATTCTGCGTTGAAAATTCTTTTTGTCATATAAATACTGTTGGAGGCATTAAGTTCTTAAACTGAGTAATGTTTGCTTCATTTTTATCAGAAAATTTTGACTGATACTGATGACATCTGCGCAATGTGTAATGGATTATAGGAGGAAGTAAGTTCAAAAAGCAAATGTATATTATTGAATTTTCATGAAATTGCTCTGGAATATTTGGGCCTATTTACTGAAACGGCCTAATTCTCACCGGATAAAGGTGTCGCCAATTCCTAAAAGGAGTTTGTCATATAACCACCCCAACTAGTATTTGAATGCCAAGTTCAACACTCAAAAACTGAAGGACCAGGACACAAAGGACATCTTCACTGCAAGCATGAAGGACAAAGCCGAGATACAAATCAACACTAGCGAAGAGGTCAGCGTCGAAAAGCACTGGAACAACTTGAAAACAGTGTGGAGTCAGACCTGCATGTAAGGTCTAGGCAGGACAAACAGTGGCTCACTACGGACACTTGGAGACTGATAGAAGAGAGAGGGATGGTGAAACAAAAGATTCTCTAGGAATTAAAGGAAACAATAATAATAATAAATAATGATAATTTTAATATATTTGAATAGTCTAGTAACATATGTTTTAATTGAATTTTAGATTTTCCCGTCGATTGATTGGACCGAAGTGCTCGGTCTCAGGTTGACATGTCGGCTTCTCAAGCAGATGCTTTGACGATGTCTAGGCATTTAATTAGTAATTAATTGGTGGATGGTGACTAGCAGTGGAATCCAGGATGCGCGTTTCGTCCTATTCGGGACTCGTCATCTGGACGTACCTGCATTTCTCAGTGAGTGATGATGTTCCCACCGAGGCTCGAACCCAATGCCCATAGTTTCAAACACCAAAGCGTTAACCACTGGACCACTTGGGCCACGAGAACCACTTCTTGTGCAATGGGTCAAGAAGCCGACATGTCAGCCTGAGACCGAGCACTTCGGTCCAATCAATCGACGGGAAAACCTAGAATTCAATTAAATCAATATGACTCATTGCACAAGAAGTGGTTCTCGTGGCCCAAGTGGTCCAGTGGTTAACGCTTTGGTGTTTGAAACTATGGGCGCTGGGTTCGAGCCTCGGTGGGAACATCATCACTCACTGAGAAATGCAGGTACGTCCAGATGACGAGTCCGAAATAGGACGAAACGCGCATCCTGAATTCCACTGCTAGTCACTATCCACCAATTAAATACTAGTAACGTATGATTTACCTTCAGTCGGAATTATCTGTCACGGTTTTTTCAGGTTTACGTTATTTGAATTTTGTGCCGTTGGTATGAAAAGTGCTTCAATAGTCCTAATACGTTTATCAAAGTACTAAATTTAGCCATTTTCTTTCGTATTATCATAATGCAGATCCATTTCTTGTTATGTAAAGCAGTCTATCCAAAATGTGCTGTGCAGGCAACTATGTCAACAATTTGGCTTTTCAGACTGTTTTTACTGATTGTCACCTTTTAACTTTGCAGGTTAGTAATTCCACGTAATCTCCGGTATAGAACCATTTTAAATAAATAAAAATGTTCAGTAAGTGAATCCAATTTAAGACGACTATCGTTTAAATGCGAAGTAGTGATTGGCGACTATTTCGTTCCAGTTTTAGACCTCTCAACGGTGCTAAGACGAGGCTTCACTAGGAATCAAGTTTATGACTGTCTGGTTCCAAAGTGAAGCATGTTCTCATTCACGTGAAAAATTGGCATTCACTATTTCTATATTTATGAAGTTATCCTACTAAAGTGGATTATAGGTGAGATATTTCTTGAAACGCATCGAAAATGGCTTAATAGAATGCGCACATTTTGGATATTAAAACAAGTTACCAGCTTGATCCAAGTTCAACCTTGATTTAGTATCAGAAGCATTAAATTATTGAGTTGAAACCAGTGCATCGAAAGGTATGCTTTGAACACTTGGAGGAATTCTTAACAGTTCACTGCTTTTATTCTGAAAAATTTTGTTTAATAACCTCTTATTTTTTACTAATTTTTTAGAAACCTCAAACTATGAGTATTTTTAACCTCTTTAGACTTACCATCTCCCCAATAGTTCCTTGAATATCTGGATTATTCACAGCCAAGGTAACCTCAAATGGAATAGCAGCGAGTAGGTCAAGAAAGAACCAACCACGTAAATAATTGATAGCGATAGCCTTCAAGTGATATACAACTTGCCCACTTTTGCTAACATATGTGGTCCAAAAATTCAATATGATATCTATAAGAAATTTAACACAGAAAACATTTAATTTTGATGTAATCAAAGACACGAAAAGCACATTAAAGCAGCATAATGAATAAGGAATCTAAAACATTATTCATCATAAATGCGCATTAACGTTTTACGTAATGCCGGCAATATCAGTTTCAGAGAAGAACTGACGAAGTGACTCCAAGATTAGTTTGGATAAAAGAATACTGTGGACAAACGAATACACGAGGAAGTCATAGCAGGTCCTCACAAATAAACTATGATTAATAAACATAATTTTCCGAAGCACTCATTTGAGGATCTGTTTTCAACGTGGATTTTTCCTTGGAAACCTCTAATACTTATAATATAATATGTGAACTGGTTGAGACAATGAGTGAAATCAATATAGCGGGCATAAACCTTGTGTGATATATACTACTAGTTCGTAAACAACTCACACCAACATTTGGCCCAGTTAAAATGACCTGAACGTAGACTCAACAGATTCGATTTTCCTGAATGAATCAGTTCGGTTACACTGCCAATAAGTTTAGATCATAGAAACAAAGCCACCATCGGTTATGAGCTGTCAATGTACAGTTTACTTTTCTTCAGTATTCGGGAGGCCGAAATCTATCTGGCTATTGGTTTCTCGTTGTGGACAACAGTTATTGATTTATATATGTCTAAACCAAGTTTACTTTAAACAGTTTGAAAAAATATCGGCATTGGGTATATGATATTCATTATAATAAAGGTTATTTGTATTTTACATTCACTGGGAAATACAAATAACCTTTATTATAATGAACAGTTATTGATATTTATTGTGAAGGAAATTAGACCGTCAACGCTGAAAAGAATTGCTTCGTCGCAGCTGAAGCCCTGAAAGATTAGCACTCATGTCAGTAACAGTATGATTCGCTTGTGGAAAAATGTGGGGAAAATCAGTTGATATATTAAATGAACCCCATGACACTAGAAAAATAGTATGTAAAACCGCGATATTATGATTATTTTTTAATGTGGAACCTTTGTCAGGTTTATTAATAAGAACGGCTTTATTCTGGAGAAGATGTCTACACAATATACAGAATTCTCAGCGTAATTCACTGCAAAATATTCTCTCATCCAGAATCTTCAAGTAAAATAACAATCTGCAGCATACCATATGATGCAATGCTGTCTGATTTGTAAATATGCAGATCACTGCTCGAGTGGAATCCCAATGGGAAACGATGAGGGTCGTCGGTGAGAGGGTGATTTGGAGGAGATCATGCGAGGAGGACATGAGAGATTATGGTTAATCGTAGATCCAGCTGAAGAGGACGGCAGAGAAAAGATCAAATTGGAGATGTTTTGTTGAAGCCCTACGTTCCATTAGGAACCCTAGGGAATAATAATAATATAATAGTATGATATTTTAACATTCTTAACTATCCTAGTTATGTTTTGTACTCTTAATTCTGACTAACTTGTGTCTCGAATTCGGCAATAGTTTTATAATAACTATTTTCCAGTATTCACGAACGCATGTAGCTTATTGCATTTTCCACTCTCTGTGAAGGTCAGAATTTCATTAGTTGTCAAATATATAAACTTATCAATGAATTTATTGTCTGTCAACCCCATGCAGGATAAAGACGCACAACGATAAAATATTATTTACAGAAAGCTACACTAATAGCCAATCACAATGTCAACCACACAAACAATTTTACCTTCGGTGTTTGAATGCAAGAAGCAAAAAAAACAAACTAATGAGATCAATATACGAAGAGAATTTGGTCATTTCAGTAGATTCTAATTCCATCACAGAATAATATTATTTGATCAATAATTGTATTTGATCAATAACACTCATATTGATTTTTATTCAAATATCTAGTCAACTCCATACATATACATAAATGAAGGAAAAAGTTGTGTGAGTAACTTGATATGATTATGAGCAATAATTTGTGCTCGAAACGTCATCAGTTAATATTACTGTGTAACACTGTGTGATTTATGAAAATAAATTCTTATCCATAATGGAGTTACACTGTGATGCAGTATTACCTACTGATAAGGTTTTTAGAACAATTTATTGTTCAAATTCGTATCAAGGCACTCACATAACTTGTAAACTTTGTTTGCATCATTCCACTATTTCTTATGGAATTATGTAATAATAATTTGATTTATTCCAAAACAGTACTTGTGATACAGAATGGAATTCTCAGCATTTTTACTACAGTATTGCATCCAGTTAGTACATTATCAATAAATAGAATTCTACATAGATTAAGGAAATCTCATTTCATTATGACAACAACATATTGAGATGTCGGTAGCAAAGCCAAAGCCGAACAGTGTTTGAAGGTGTTAGAAAAGTAGGTGCCGTCATATTTACTGGCGTAACCGAGAGAAAGAAACAAAGCAGCACATAACGGAAAAAAAGAGAGAGAATAGGAAAAGAAAGAAAGAAAATGTTGTACCTATAAATGATATGACTTGGAAAGACGAGATCCAGTTGTTCTACTGACTATTTAATGAATTATAGGTGTCATACCTAGTGCTTTCTTTATCGTACAGAACACGAGCTAAGTAGGGTATGGTTGAGTTTTGTACTTGCTAGTGCAAGCATATAGTTTTCAATATCGGCTTCTGGTTTCGCCTGATGAGATGCAAGGGGAGAGTTGTAAGTGAAGAGGGTGATGTGAGTTAGATAAAATGGATTTGGCCCATTTTTCACATGAGTCCATGTGCCTGTTCACCAGAATATTAACAAGCTGGTTAAGTGGCACGTTGCTTACCCTGCTGACATACCTCGTGAGAGCCAACCAGTTTATTGGCTCACATTGTTTGTATGCGGGTGGATTTATTAAATATCTCATTCAATGCTAACCTTATTTATTTGATTATTAAAACACAAGCTTGGTACATTATGACACCAAGAGATACATCAAATAAAACCTCATAGTTTGTATGAGGACTAAGATACTGTCCGGAGACACCAAGACTGAAGCGTTTGAAGCCTTTTACTTGAAGTCTGATCTACTAGGTAGGGGTGCAATGTCGGCAGCTACATTCTCATGGTTTCCGGTGACGAGAACGTCTTCATACGCCATTATGTTCTTTCGAGTTCTGAAGCCCATGTACACTATTGGCTCGGAATCAGAGTTTTTCACGTCTCATAGGTAGACCTGTATGTTCACGAATCGAAATGTAAGTGTCAGACGTTTTTCTGTTAGCAGCACTCCTGACGCATGAAGGCAGTGAATAAGGCTAATCTGTTATAGTCTATGAACTCATGGCTACAAGAGAGCATTTTGAGATGGAGACCAAGGTCTACCCAATTTCGATCATACCAGCTAGTTCAGCATCAGATTAGATTCACCATAAATGAAAGTTTAACACTGCTTTAGTTACATGGTGTTTTTTAGAGCTAAAAATTATCACCAAAAACGTGTTTCACTGTGGAATACCTGTTTTTGTCTTACAATAAAAAATATTCTTAAACAAGAAAGAATCTCATATATATATATTCAGTATTCATTATTAGTTGTATAAGACAAGATTTATCTGGTGTAGTAAACACGAATGATGCTCACACACGCAACACATCTGTCTATCGAATTATTTTCATATCGTGATGGCTGGTAATTATTCAATTCATTTTCTATTTATCCTTATTATTCGCGTTTACACTTTATCATTAACATTGTTATTACTATTATTATTACTACTAGTATTAGTAGTAGCAGTAGTATTGAAGAAATTAAGACTAAGGTAGAGATCTAATCTGCAAAAAAAATTAGTTTGAAAACCGTTACTAATAATAGTTTTAGTAAATCTTTCTGTTCAATTCGGTGATTATCCCGACGGTATTTATCGTTTTTCTTACATCTGTGATAATTTATGCTTCCCTTATATGACATGCAACATAACAGTGTCATATACAAATAATATCGGAGAAGGTGAACCGTTATCGCTGTACAACAAACGGTTGTACTGATGTTTTATTTTTCTTGGAAAAAGCAACTAGTCGTAGGCTGGTTCCTGTTTAAGAAGACGTTATACACTTTATTTATGTTTATTTGATGATAAAGCAAACATTCACAGAGATTTATTATTACTGTCTGTATCAGTGTGTTTTTCATCAAATAAGCACACTGGTAGAAGATAAAAGCTCAGGGAACACATAATACGATTAGGCAGTGCTAGATTATAAGGGAAATATTAGATAAACTAAGTTTTAATGAAGATGAAGTAAGATTAAGGAAGGGATGACAACATAATTAATAAGAAAGAGCTTATCATCTCCTGTGCAACTCTTCTTCCTTGTTTATTTTTTTTTATTAAATCTTGATTTATCTACTTCCCTCACAACCTAGCTTTGTGTAATCTTACAATTTGCTTCCTAAGCCTTTATGAAACTACGTCTATTTGAAGTAAGTGTGTATCTAATATGCAAGTTTTTTAGATTTGCAAAGAATTTCGTTCGTTTCAGTGTAGATTTCATCGCGAACACATATAAGCTGGTGAATCTTTAAAAGCCAAGGAAGAGATGATAGCTATTTCGCCCCAGTTTCAGACTCTTCAGATGTTTGCACCATGACCATTTTAGATGTCGAACCTGGTAACTTCAGTTTAGCAGCCATTCATTTGGTATTCTGCAATTCCTAGGTTCTCAGTCTCGCCAGTTTGCAGCATGACATCACAAATGATCGATATGAACTTAGATAATTCCCGTTACATCTGGCTTGATAGACGCCTACGAATACTTCTTAAAACGTAAGAATCAAATTCTCAATTTATTTACTGAAAACAAAAGTTATTCAGATCAAACTTTGGGATATGTATGGTGTAATAAGTGGTAATCAAGAAAGCCAGTAAAAATGCATAATATTATGCAAAACTGATTCATTGAGTTGTGTATTTGTTCACCAATTACATCAAAGAGTAGTCACTGCTGGCCAGATTTGAATGATCAGAACACTGAATGGCTGTCTGGTTCGTTTGAGTATTACCCATTCGTT